TATTATAATATGTCAACAGCGTCAAGAATTTGTAGTAGCATGAGGTCTATTATTCTTATTTTTGGTTTACAGAACTATTGTTTAAGATAAATTACATGCAAAATTGTTTCCTTTAAGCAGCTGTATTAATTCCCTTGAAAGCACGTCTACTATTGTTTTTGAACTAAAGAATAGCATACCTGCCAACTTTAATTTATGCGGTTGATTTTTCAAAGTGGTTGTAATTTGACAACCTTATGGCAATTACAGGAAGCAATATTTTTGTATTCTTTTGAGATTTATCGCACTATAGTTTTAATGCTATAATGTGAATGTTATTTTCGAGGTTTTCTCCATACTGCACCTGGCTCTTCACCGGAATTTTTTGCCATAGGCAACTTATGAATAATATCTAAATTGATAGTGCAATACAATAAATTATTAACAAAAAAAATTTCCGAATAAAATGATATTATATTCAGGGCCTGACTTGACCTAATTTTGGTCCGGGGCAAAAACTTCTTTAGGCTTCAAAAACTTTGCTTACTTTGAAAAATTCTATGTTCATCATGCCGAATGCATTTTTCTGATTGTTAACTTTGTCATCTAGCTGCGAAAAATTCATATCCTTGCTGACATTAGGGCGGAATTCAGCTAAATTTTCGCGATCACGATGGCTCAATTAAGCCAATCAGAAGCCTGTATTTTTGTAAAATATCGCAGCTTGCGATATGTAACAATACAGGCTTTTGATAGGCCAAATGTGTCCATCGTAATTGCAAAAATTCAGTTGAATTCCTCACTAGAAAGCCAAGGATTGACGAAATATAGATTTTGTGTTCATGCAATAGATTAATGAAGAAGCTAACATAAAACAGACGAATTTTACACTATACTGATATTTTGTTTAAATAAAGTGCATTAAAGAAGGAAACTTAAAATAAACTTTTAATTCGACTTGGGGGGCCCCCTCTGATGTGGGGACCGGGGAAACTACCCCGTATGTCCCTGTGTTTATCAAGCTCTGATAATATTTACATATACGAAGACGAGATATACCGAATAATATATAATTAAATATTTACAAAGGCGAAAAATAAGAATTTGAGAGTAGGGGATCGAATATTTACGAGTGCAAGTGATATAATCAAAAACAATAACAAATTCAGGAGACATCATCTCTCTTCCTCCCCCTCAAGATTAAGCTTCGCGTAGGGGCACAGAGGGACGACGCGTCTAAAGAGAATAAAAATTAAATTGGGAATGAGAAATAAAAGATAAAGATTCGCACTATTTACAAAAGCATTTCGAAAGAGTGCCGTTGGAAAGTAAGAAGTCAGTTGAGGGGCTGTAATTGATTAATAAACATTCTTTATTTTGTGTTTTTTAGTTTATAAATAATGATTTTTATTGAAACTTAAAATTTTTGATAAAAATTGTCAATTGAAAAATTTATTTGAAAAATTAAATGATATTATTTATGAGTTTATGTATGCTTTTTGCATATTTTAATGTTTGAAGTAATATGATTCATAAAGCTATAAAATGTAAAGTTTAAATGGGCTTTTCATGTTATATCATTAAATTTAGAAAAACGATTTCGCAAGCATTAGGTTTTAACTCTAATAAGAAGATACATATTTTTTTTCTGCTTATTAATAATTATTTTTGCAATGTGTTTTGGATGTTCCTTCTCAAAAAAAAAAAAAAAAAAGGAGATACCATTTTGTTTTCGCTTGCAGAAGGAGGAATATATATATAAATCAAACATTTTTTTTAAAAAATTTAATAAGCCACAATAAAGAAGGAACGTCACAATGCTACACTCTACGCCTCCAGTGCAACTGAATGACTGTTCATATAGAAATCGCAACTATTCGGCTCATACAACAACGCGCCTTATAGTTTGTTGCGATCGCGAAATGAACACATTGATGTGGCAACACGTGAGAGCTACGTCACCAAATTTATACTTTTAAAGTTGTCGGATTCCACCCACTTTTTTCTTATTTATATTTCTTTTAAAACGCTTTTCTAAAAAAACTATTTAATTGAAATCAACGGTAATTGAATAAAAAATATTTATGGATTTAAAGGCAAAATTAATGGGAATGTTGTATTTCTTTCTTTAGGTGAAACGTAAAAAATGGCCACATTATTATTGACGCCAATGATGCTTAATTAATTTACTTAATGTATGCATATTGAAATAAAAGAAATAAGCTGTGTACTAGGAAGCAAAAGTATTGGAGTTTATGCATTTTTTGTCTAAATAAAGCTTAAAAATTTGTCATATTATCAATGACGACAATGATACTTTATTCATGTTGGTAATATGTTAATTGACATTAAAAAATACATCAAAATAATTGACATCAAAATTATAGGAAAAATATTAGAGAAAGGATACTTCTTCATTTTGAATAGACATATTATTACTGGCTCTAATGCTTTATTAATATTGATAATATGAAATAAAATAAAATAAGCTATGTGCTAAATAGCAAAGTTAAAGGAGAAAAGGTTAATAAAAAATTTGTTTAGAAAAACCGTAGAAAATCACCATTCACTGATGACGCTTAATTCATCCAGAAGAGTAAATTTCATGAATACCAATATTCTGTGTATTGTAAATTACATATATATGATTCCTTATTCCCCGAGAACTAATTAAAAGCTACCACAATGTTGCTAAACAAAATGTATACAATCCAACTGTATATGTATTTTCATGATGTATGGCATACCTGCCAACTCTTCCGGATTTTCCGGAAGATTTTATTTACATACTAGGAGGCTCCGCCCCCTGCTTTATTCTAATAAAAATAATTTTGAAAAAAACAATCCTCCTAAAGTTTTATTTTAGTAACAAAACAAAATCAAAAACGTAATAACAGTACAGGCAATTTTAACTCTTTAAATTAGGGAAATCAAAATATTGATAGGAAAGCAATAACTTCATGACTGATATCAATTCTATGCTGATGACAACCGAACCAATATGAAAATGAATGTGGGAAAACCGGATCCTACCACGTGATTTTCCAGCCAATAAAAATTTGAAAAACTGCGACACTATCATTAGATTTTTATATATAGTAAGATTTAAAGTGGTAGCAATACTCAGGTTATTTCAATTAACTTTTTGAATTATAATGATAATTATAAATGAGTTTGACCACCACTACATATAAATAATTACAATAAATATATGAAAGCATAATTATCCTTGCGCAAGCGAATTTCAACGAGATTGAAATATAAATATATTTTAGAGTCAGATTGTTTTTCGTTTATTGTTTTACAACCACTCTGAAAATCCATTCTCGGAAGGAGTGAAAGTTGGCAGGTATGGTATGGGATAGGGGCCGCTACGCGGCCCAGGTGCCCAGTTTTTTGTAAATAAATAAAGAAGAACTAATTAACAGCAATAAATAGTAATAATAGATTCACTCCTCCCGGATACCACCTATTCTTGAATTGGTCCAACTGTCAGATTTTTTCTCTTTTCCATCTCACTTTCAGGCCTGTCTAGTCCTACACTGGACTGGACTGATCGATACTATTCTCAGTAGATCACTGAAGCCAAGTATCTATGGCAACTGGTAGGGGATAATTTTAATCAGCTTACAAAGATATCAAGGGTGAGAAGAATCGGTCTTTGTTAAACTGTTCTAAGTGCTCGATTCTGCATCCAGGTCATCGGGCTACCGAACCGGGGGGAGCCAACAGAGGATCACAATTAAGATCTCCAGATCATCCTCAGGAATGTTTCATTGACCGTTGCCAATAGCCTAATATAAATGCTTGTTTTTACTTCATTTTATATGAGATCGCTTTTTGTACTTGAACTTTAATGTTCAGAAGTATTCTACAGGTTATTCAAAAATGATTGTCGGACATAACAATAATTGTGCCATGTTATTTAGACATATAATAGTGCCATAATGGTACAAGATTAAAAAATGTATTACTTACAAGATAAGCTAGTTTTTGCAGTTTGAAACGGGAAATTATTTATGGAAATGATTTGTCGGAAAAGTAAGGAATTGAGAAGAAAAATTGCTAACAATCGATACTTTTATCATCATTACCCTTTACTAAAAAAAGTGTCAAAGAATTTAATGTCGTTACATTGTTGCTAAATACCCTTATTATAACATACTAATTACACCTTATTATACCCTTATTATACTAAATACCCTACTATTGCAGAAATACTCTTATATTTACAACAATACCCTTATTATCTGGGGCATAACGTCGAGGACAAGAAAAAATTTGCTCTTGCGGAACAATCCTACAGTATGAGGGTTGGCTACCAAGTTTAAAACAATATATGCTATCTCTTGAAAATAAGTATTGTTTTGGAAAAAAACCTGCCTTATAAAATATACTACCACCCAGTTTCACTGTACATTGAAGAAATTATAATAAAATAATTATTATAATAATATTGAATTATAATAAAATAATTATAATAATAATATTGAATTATAATTAAAAATACATTATAGTTCTGTTTAATTATCGTATAGTTCTTCATTTAAGCTTTTTTTTAATTCTTTAATCTGAAGCCCAAACTTCAAATTAGTTTTACGTTTTGAAAAAAAAGGGAAATAAAGCTTTAACAAATAACAAATAATATATTAAGGATTTATTCCATATGAATAAGATATTATAGATAAAAGCAGACATAAAAATTCAATTTCCCAGAAACGTCTAAATGTTTAATTATTTTTTATATTGTAATAAAAAAATGAATAAATTCTTACTATTACAGAACTGTTTTAGATTTAATTACATGTTTTTGATTGAACATTGCGTGATATTAATAGCAACATAAAATCTAAAAAACTTTTTGCAAATATAAAATAGTAGATAAAAATTTTTATGCATTTACCTTCGATGTAGAATCGTAACGTATCTTTTTATAGTTGACAATAAAAAAATACGCTAACATAATAAAAGAACATTTGAATAATTAACGTACGAAAATCAATTAAGTTTTATTTTTATTTAAAAAAAGTTTCAGTATAAATAAGCAGGTTTTTCCTGGAAAAAATACACTCGTTCAAATAGTAACGATATTTGCAAGATGAATTCTAAACTGTGCATTGTACTTGTTGTATTTGCCATTTTGGCAATATTAGGTAAGTTATTTTTTTAAAGGATTATATCTAGTATTATACCGTCAACGTAAAATGCATTAATTTAATCAGTAGGTACCAGTTATTTATATAAAAAACTTAATTCATAAAATGGATAATGTAACTGGCTATAAAAAATTATTGAATTTCGTATAGTAAACAAAAACTTGATAAATTTTATTACTTTCAAAAATTACCCGCATTAACAGATAATATTTTAAAAGAAGTATGTTAACATTCAGTTTATTTTTTACTAACAATCACCCAGAAGTTATATCTCCTTCAAGTCCTTATGTAAATTAAATAAGTACTGTCGAAGAAAATTATTCTGAAATTTACAACTCAAAAAAATTATTTTTAGATCCCGCTCCCAGAACGACACGTTTTTCTTAATTTTTCTTTATAACCTACGTTGAAAAGACAATCCAATTTTTGGGTTTACGACTACTAATCTTCAACTCCGTAGCATTGTATTTTTGAACCCAATCCAAAAGGCAAGGGAACTCCAGGATCAAGTATTGAGAGAAACCAAGGAGGACTTTTCGATGGCACTAACCCTTATTTTCGTTACATGGATAGAAAAACCATGCAAACCTCCAACGGTTAGCAGATGGCAAGATGACTCTAACCCATGACCCGTCTACCACTGAGGATATTTTACATCCGCCCTGTGCTCGGTGCGAGACGGGTGAGGAATTCGTTTCCACCAACCATCTCTGGGATTCGAACCCGGTTAACTAGGAGGTCAAGTTCTTTTTCTAAAACGAAGGGATTGTTTTCCGCTATAAAATATGAACAGGACTTATTTGGTAGATGGTACTATCGGCTGAAACATTTACAATTGAAACGTCTTTTTCAATGGAACAGACCAAAAGATAATTGGGCAGATCAGAGGCCCAAGGAAGGGCTCAAGAAAGTATCCTTGGACCCATACTATTTACTATATTCATCTACGATTCTCCTATGGACAGACAGGATTTTAACAGTATTACTGCATTTTGCGCTGATGAAACTGGAATCGCCTTCTTTTGGCTGAGCACTTCATGATTAATTCAAAATGTTATTTTTAAAAAAATTATTCTTCAAGATTTTACACAGAACGAACTTATTCGCTAATTGGCAACTCAAAAAGGCAGTAACATTAATGCAAGCCTTTTTCAAAAGTTACAGCTACAGAAATAACTATTACTGCCATTTGTCTTCATATGGAAACTAGAAATAATTTTTAAAATTAAAAGAGGAGGGAAACTCACAAATTAAATCGGCTTTTCAACGACGGATATAAATAAATATCAAATACTTTTTACCGATATAGTAACAAAATTTTAACTATTTATTTTACTTGAACCGTTTTCCGTTAGGTAACAAAATGCACAAATTTGTTTCAACACTCTGAAAAGATGTATTTTACTGGAAAGATAATATAAATAACACCTTGTATTTTTTAGTTTATTTGTATTAGCAACAAAACGATTTTAATTAGACAACAAATTTCGTTCCTATTCGTGATATTTTATTGAATCATATATGTTTTAGGAAACAAGGAGTTAATTAAATGCTTAATGTGAATTCTTTTAAGATACGTGATGAATTTTATTTTAAACACTTTGAATTAAAATATAGAATAACCTTTTCTTATCATGTCTAACCTGTAATTTTCTTTTTATCGTAGGTACCGCAATGGCTGGTAAGAAATTCTAAATTATAAGCATTCATTTCTTAATTTTTGAACACATTATTTACTATATATTAAATGATATTATAATTTATTAATGATTTTTTCAGATCCACAATTGGGAATTTTAGGACGTAAGTATAATTGTTGAAGAGCATTTTGATGAATAATTTATAAGTTTAAACGTATCTTATTTATTTTATTTATCTTATCATATTTATCTTATTTATTATTGCCAACTTGTACGGACGTTGAGAAATAATTTTCTGAGTGGTAGAAACATTGGTGTTATTATGGTGTATTAAATCTTGCTGTTCAAAAAAATCACATATCAATCTTGAGCTTCAAAAAAAAAAAAAATTAAACAACCACGATGAATCAATAATTTAAAAAAAAATATATGTTACCGGCAAAGTATGAAACACTGGAATTGTATTGAATGACTAGGCATTGTATAGAATGCCTGACGTTTTTAGGCAAAGTATGAAATGTGAGAAGTATTACATACTTTGCCTAGGCATTGTGTAGAATGCCTAGGCATTCTATACAATGCCGGATGCTATTTAGGCAAAATATGAAATAAACGTCCTGATGAGGCTATTAGGTAAATGATGTGCATGTTACTGTGAATGAGAGAAATCGGTGGTTGTTGACTTTCACCGGCGAATGCTGACAATCACATAGTCGCTTTGGAGAATGTCCGAAATATTTATTACATCCGATTTGATATTAATTTATTCGTGAATATAATTACATTTATTCGATATTTTAATACTTACTGACGATAGATTAGAAGAAACATCAGTGTTTGGAATATCGGGCAAATGTATACCGCGCAGTGACCCTTGATCTTAAAAAAACATCAGTGTAGGGTATACTGGGCAAATGTATACCGGGCAGTGGCACTTGACCTTTAAAAAACATCAGTGTAGGGTATACCAGGCAAATGTATACCGGGCAATGGCACTTAACTAGACCTAGTACATATTTCGGACACTTACCAAAGGTCCAGTCATACTAGTTCTAGTTAAGTGCCATTTTCTGGTATACATTTGCCCGGTATACCCTACACTGATGTTTTTTTAAGGTCAAGGGCCAGTGCCCGGTATTTATTTTCCCGGTATACCCTACACTGATGTTTCTTCTAATCTATCGTCAGTTAGTATTAAAATATCGGATAAATGTAGAACTACCGATTTCGGTCATTCACAGCAACATGTATTTGACAAAAAATAAAAATGTTATTCTGAAGAAATACTGAGAGTGCCATTGAAAAACATTTATTCAAAATGTAGAAAGAAAATTAAAAAGTTTTGCAAAACAAAATTTAAGCCTTTCTTATTATGGGAAACAAAATTTTCATATAAAAAATATGAAATTTACCTACTTGTCTCCACATGGCAGGCTTGAATGTTATTTAGAATTGCATTTTATTAAATTTTTCCATGTAAATTTCATTAAATTCCTCCATTTCCATGTAGCACAGTAAAGAAATAATTTTTGTTATTAGTCAAAAGTCACGAGCCACGCGTTAAAAGTCACGAGCCTTGCCAGGTGATATTTGAAACGAAAGGGAGATGAATTTTATACTTTGCCGGTTTCTCATTTGGCAATCTATAGAATGCCTAGAAAATGTGTGAAATATAAATCATTTCATACTTTGCTCGCTAATTTTAGGCATTCTATCCAATGCCTAGTCATTCTATACAATGCCGGATTTCATACTTTGCCGGTAACATATATATTGAAAATATCGACTTGTTAACTGATTATGTCTTGAATTGCTCTTAAATGTCTTAAGAGTTCTATTTTTAGAAGGTGCTTCCAAGCGTAATTGTTGTTTTACTACCACTTAGTAAAATCTCTTTCACTGACCGTACAAGTTTGTAAGTATAGGAATACCACATGCGACTAAAAATGTAAAAAGTGGTAAAAACTCAATTCATTTTTGCTTATTTACAATATCTTAAATTAATAAAACGTAACTACCACTATAACTTACATTTCAACTTATTCATATTTAAAGCAAAATAATGTTGATTTCTTTAACCTCATCTACAATCTTAAATTTTTGAGCAAGCTGTTTCTTTTTATTTAGACTTACTTTATTTCCTCGAGAAAATTGCTCGAACTTATTACCTCGAGACACTAACAACTCAGTTGACCACAATGTGATACTGCAAATATTAAACAAGTTCACGATGGATGGAATAAGCATTGCCTCACGGTCCAAGTGCGTAGTTTCAGAACAATGCTTGGACTAGACTCTTTGCAAACAGTTTCGATAGTCAAATTAAAAAAAAAAAGCTAGAATAAGTGGCTAATTTCAATTTTTTTCCCACAAAAATCTGAATTTTATTAAATACCATTTTTTTAAATTTTTAGTGGGAAACCTTTTAGTTGCAATCTTGATATAAAAAAACATGCCTCAAAGTAAAATTAGCCTGCTCACAAGTATCTTCAACGCTTGCATCAAATATAAAAACTTTCCCAATGAGTGGAAGAAGTCAGATATAATTCTTTTTCCTATTCCTGGAAACGATGTTTCATCTTCTGAAAACTACCACCCTATAAATCTATCAAAAAAATATTTGAAAAATTATTCACCGACGTCATGATAATTATCTGCGGAATATACCAAAACAACAATATGAGTTTGGTAAGAATCTTTAAATTACTAAGCAGGTTGTTAACATATATTGAAATACATCAGCAATGACAAAATCTAACATGAAACTAATCTCATGCTCAACGTCGGTAAGGTGTTCAATCAAGTGTAGTATCAAGGTCAAATATTTTAATTAAACTTCATGAGCATTCATGACTATCTCTTTCTATTAAATTCTTATTTCGCCATTTGCCAATTCAGAATCAAGATTAACAATACCAACACATCATATAAAGGAATTAGAGATGGATTACCAGAAGATAGTATTAGTGGTCTGCTATTTTACATTCTATTTACTGCTGATTTCCCCATCAATGATGCAAAAGCTACCAGCGCGAAAGTATCTCAACATCGACAACTCTTGGGACGACGTTGCACTTCTTTCTTTTTGCTTGCTTTCTTAAATCGTATGAAATGAGGAAAACAAAACTTACTGGATAATCGATTAGCAAGCAATAAGAATTAATAAAATAAGATATAAAAAACCCAACAAATATACGTCTCTATTCGCCCTTAAAGAAACTAATGAAAGAGTAATAAATATTGATTCATCCAGACGATTTTCTTCTACAATAAAACAAAATGAAGTTCCTTATCTCACATGAGAATTGTTAAGGGCATGACAGCATAAGACGCTCCATTTTTAGTGGTCAGATCAAATCCAATGCTCTCACAACGCAATACAGTTATTTCTTTTCCAAGAACGAATGTTCTCCTTATTTATCAAACTATGTCGCCAAGTGTAGTTTTCCTGAAAGACTTCGAAACTTTGACATTTTTTTTTAAATAATTCTGCGACACATATAGCAAAAGGTTAAATTAAATTAAATTTCTGTTTGATGTTTTTAAATTTCAAAAACTTTTAAATTGCTTCAAAAGCATATTTTTATAATTTGATAATGGAATAAAAAGGAACTATTTGCAGTCGCGGATGATTACTTAAATCCGGTAGTGTAATGATCTTTTCTTAACTTGAACGGAATGTAGATACACCCAGGCAGTAAAACAATTTCAGAAAAAAATTACTGACTCCAAATGGAAGACTACATCCCCACAAACGTTCCCGACATCCCGACAGTTAGTTTTCAGTAATAAGACGAAAGGACCCAAAATACCAGATGTAAGTTGTGTAATCAAAATACTGAACCATCGAAAAGCGCCAAATACTTATGTATTGCAATTACTTCTATCCCAACTTGGAACACTCATATCAATCAATAGTATTAAAAAAGCCAATGGTGCTTACTAGACATTGAACGCAATTTTAGACATCAAAACAGAACATGATCTCAAATGCAAAAGAACTATATTGTATCTCATGGCAATAACGACCTATTTTAACTTATAGACTACGTTGACCTGTTGAGATACAATTTCTCTAGAAGAATTCCCAGAATAATAGAGTTTTCCATCTATTCATAAGACCAATTCCAATATACATTTCCCCTGCCTGATGGTGCAATAGGTTAGCTGCATTTGAAAAACTAATAAGATGACAAAATAAGATTATACTAAATCTGACTAAAACCAAATAGTTCATAAATTATAGTAAAAGTGTAAAATATGACTTCCGAATTCGAATTTTTCCTATTATGAAATTTTTGTAAGGTTTGCTTACTGAAATGATTATTTGACAGTTGTCCACTTATAACCAATAAAATTTTTATATTACTGACATCTAGATATATTTTCTTCAAAAAAATATATGTATTGTTTATAATTTCAGAGGTAAAAGAATTGGGTGACAAAATTCTTAGCACTGCCGGAGCTCACAATAACGATGCCGAAGATGTACAAACACTCCATGCTCATCGTGGATAGAAATTGCTATTATGTATACATTATATTTGCTTTGTATTATTTTGAATCTCCATTTTAATAGCATTGCAATAAAAACTGTTTGTTGAAGTTCTTTAGAAATATTTTTAATACAATAACTTTTGCTTTTGTATATATATTTATGGAACAGTAAACTCGGGTATTTTTCTATCTATTGCCATCACAATAGTTATTATTCATTTTATTAAGTTGTCTCCGGTAATAATTTAAGTAATGTTAAAATATTAGTCAAAGAGATGTCCAAGTCAGAGACATAACTAGATCAGTGTTCCACAAACATTCAATCAATTTCCGTTTGCACTATTCCTAAACGTCGATACGCATTCCTATCCCAATGGAAATCAATATATAGAAATCAATCAATAGAACCAATAATCCTACGTATTCCTATCCCGTCCTCCTATTGGTCGCATTTTTAACTGATTGATATCATTGATAGATTTCCAGTGCACCGGTAAAGGAAGTGACGTCAGCTTAGACATTTTTATGTATTAAGTACTTAGTTAGAATTATTTTATATTCTTATAATAATAAAAACTTAGTTATAAGGTAATTACTTCGATTTAATTTTAATCCTTTCGAAAATGGCTGAAGAAATTTTAAACATAAACGATGCTGCGATTTCCGCATACAGTCATACTAATTATTGGTGAAGTAGCTTGGCTTTTTCGAGCAAATTGAGCAATAGACACCGAATAATACACCGAAGAGCCATTACATTATGACCACCCTCCATCTATAGCAATGGGCTCACCCAGGTTTTCATGGTTTCTCGCCTAGGAACAATGTTTTCATGGGGCACATTAGGATCCATAATCCTCATAGAACAATCCCTGACGTCTGTAAGCTACTTGAACATAGACCAGGTTCACCCATTCATGCCAGCAGTTCTTCCTTCGGGGGATGGTGTTTACCAACATGATAATGCACCATGTCACCATAAGAGTCGAATCGTTCTGGATTGATTCGAGGAACATTCCAGTGAATTTCAAGTGATGTCTTGGCCCCCAGATTCACCTGACCTTAATCCAATAGTGCATTTGTGGTCCTACTTGGAAAACCAAATTCGTGCTGCCACGCTACCCACTCGCAATGTGAGGGAATTGCAGGACCAGTTGGTGAGCGCTTGGTACCAGATACCTCAGACTACCTATCAGCACCTTGTGGAATCAATGCCGCGGCGGGTGCTAGCAGTTTTGAGGGTTAAAGGTGGTCCTACAGGTTATTAGCAGGGTGGTCATAATGTAATGGCTCTTTGGTGTATATAATATACGATATTTTAATTACGAATCCAGAGGTGGCGGGGAACACATCATTTAATGCGCATATGAGTACTGTGATATATATCCATTTGAAGCATTCATTAATTCATTAATTCTGACTTTGATTAAAATGTAAAACTAAATCAAAATACAGCTTTATGCGAAGGCACTCGCGAGATTCTCCTGTTTACTAAACGGGCGCTTTAACCAACTAAACCACGTCGCCACAAATACTGCGAAAATGAATGAGCATAAATTTCTGACCAGCGTGGTTTTTTTTACCAGTAACTTCTTGATCAGTTTCGCTTGCATTGAATTTCCCTTGTTGTTATCTTTTCACAACGAAATTTTAAGTTTCTTTGGATTCAGCTTGGATACATTACATTGTATACATTAAAATATATACATAAAATATATAACAAAGACGATTTTAGACTTAAAAATGGAAGAAAAACGAAATTTTCGAAGAATCCGTAAGAAGCATTTATTAATTCCTTACTGCGCCAAATTCAGACATTAATGGAAATGTAAAAGCCAATCCATAAACGGGTTTACTGAAAGCCACTAGAGAGATTCGAACTCACGATCTCCTGTTTACTAGACAGGCGCTTTAACCAACTAAAAGCCACGGCGCCACGTTTTCTGTGAAAATGAATTTCTGACCAGCTTGGGTTCTTAACCAGGAATCTCTTGATGAGTTTCGCTTGCATTGAATTCCCCTTGTTCTTATCTTTTCACAACGAAATTTTAAGTTTCTTTGGATTAAGCTTGGATACATTACATTGTATACATAAAAATATATACATAAAAATATATAAGAAGGACGATTTTAGACTGAAAAATGAAATTTTGGAAGAAAAAATAAAATTTTCGAAGAATCCATTAGAGGCTTTTATAATAATTTGTTTATTATCTAATTAATATATATGTTACGGTTAAAAGTAACAAATCTTGATATAATGTTTTAAATTAAAATAATATCTTTAAAAGTTTGATTTATTTTTTCATATATCCTCATATTGATTGAGGAATGAAATTTTCGAAATCTTGAGTTCTTAAATTTTAATATAGTTACAGAAAAATAAGAAAAATATTAGTGTATGGATTACGGCTATTATCTATAATCGCTGTTTATCATTTTTAATAATCGGATTACTCACGGGAAGTGAGTGCCATTGTCCGGTTTATCTATACTAATGTTTTTTCAAGATTAAGTGTTACTGCCTGATGCACATTTACCCTCTATGCCCTACACTGATATTTTTATGGATAAATGCAACTACCCGGTACGCATTTGCCCGGTATACCCTATCTTGAGGTTTTTAAGAGTTAAGTGCCATTACTCAGTTTACTGAGCACTCAATACACTGATGTTTGTTTAGATTAAATGCCACTGTCCGGTATACCCTGCACTGTTTTTTCTAAGGTTAGGTGCCTTAACCTTAGAAGAAAGAGAAAAAAAGAAAAGAAGAAAAAAAACTTTCTATTACAACGTATTCGTACAACAAATTAACAACGCACATAAAGAGCGGGCGTCTTCATACTAAGTGTAACAGAAACTAACATTGTCTCTCTGTATGCGCTGGAAATTACCATTATGCATGAGTATAAAAATTCTCCAGCCAAATGAGTTTAATTTGGTTGTTATTGGTAATAACAGGTAATGGTAACTTACCATGGAATAATAATAATTTATTAATTGCATCCACCGTAACATAGATAATATCTTTTACTGTTATACTTTGTAATTTAATTACGTTCAGTGTAACATAGATAATATCTTTTGCAGTTTTGTCGTGCAGTTTAATTCCATTCATCATAACATAGATAATATATTTTACTGTTGTGTCTTGTAGTTTAATTACATCCATTGTAACATAGATAATATCTTTTACCATTTTGCCTTTGTAGAGTGATCAGGGAGAGTCTAGGCTTCCTGGAACTGTAGCTCAAGCTAGAGACCCAATAAGTTACATTATAAACGGAAAAATAAGGAAAAAAAAAACTAAAGGTTCTAGAAAGGATTTTATTTTAAATTACATGCTAAAAGTATTAATTGACTTAGTTAACAAATAAGGATTTACTAAATTAGTTAAATATGGAATATTTATCGATGATTGTTTGAGGAAATATTGAAAAAAATAGAGCAAGCTTAATAAATTTGAAATATTTTTTTTTTACTATTTAAAATATTTTTAGATATTTTTGAATCTGAATTATCCCTCATGGACTTAAAATTATGAATTAATAATAAAAAAAACAAGCATTCCAAGTGCACAAAAGACAGCTGCTTTAAAAATTATCTCTATTCAATTTCATTTTATTCAAGGAGAAAGAAGCAGAATATCCTTACAAAAAAATTAATAATTAAAATTTAATTCCTTTTTTTTTACAATATTGCGTTACTTTTGCGTCATTATATTGCGTAATATTGGGTTAATATTGCGTCATTTTCTGAATAATTAAAGTTTAGAAGCAGTACATCAAAATTCTACCTAAAATTTGTACTAAATTTTAGGTTATTTTCCTTCATTCTAAATGCAATATTTAAAAATATTTTAGTTTCTATTACTTGAAATTTTGTAGGAATTTTTTCAATATGCATGTCTAGGGAATAAAAAACGAACAAGTGAATTTAGCAATACAACAGCTAAAATCAAAATAATTGATCGCAGTTTTTGATCCCTTTTTGCCTCTTTTCATATTTGCCTTAAAATATCTATTATTATTGTATCTAATGTGTAGTCCATTCCATAAGTTGAATTTTTATGAGCATTATAAAGCAAGAAAAATGAAAAATAATTCATTTTAACATATTGATGTGATTTTGAAAAAAAAAATTTTTTTTTGGTCAGTATTCCCTTTTTTTTCTACATTTTTTATATTTATTCCATGCTTTAGTGTATAATACACAGATTAAAAACTTTAAAACTTTGTCTTCGAAGGCATTCGGGTACTTTATGTAAAAATATGCGTAGGGACAGAGGGTGTGCGGTGTTGGTCCTCGTTAAACTGTGCTACCGTAAAGTGCTCGACTTCGCTTGCAGGTCGTTCGGCTACCGAAGCGGGGGTGCCATCCCCTCTGCAGAGGATCAAAATTGTGTTGGCATGTCTTCGGATCATCCTCAGGGATGTTTCCCAGACCGTCGCCAATAGCCCATTGTGCAGCTCTAGTGCGACGTAAAT